ATTAGCTTGCATCTTACGGTCCATTGCAAGATCCAGGTGCCAAATAGAAAAGGGTGAGCACCTGCCAGCCATCAAGCCCCAGCACACTTCCTTGCAGCCATCCTGCAGCGCTCTGGGCAGCCAGAGGGAAACTCCTGCTTGGGCTTCATGCTCAAAACCCAGCTGGCATGGGGGGAGGGGCTGCCCACAGGCAGCAACTTCTGGTGCAGCCACTTTTTCAACCACTCCCACTGCTTAGGTGGGGCTCTGGCTTATCTCTAGTGGGTCTCTTGGTGTTTGTTATATTATTTTTATACCTTTTTCAATATCCAAAATCTTTCTTGAATGTTTCAAAGCACAAAGAAGGATCTCTTCTTTAAATTAAAAAAGAAGAAAATGTAGGGCCTCTCCTGGTGGCGCAGGCATTTGAGCACCGTGCTGTGAAGCTGTCTGCAGCCTCTGCAGCGCCAGTTCAATCCCCGCCGGCCAGAGAGGGTCCCACATGGCGCAGCAGACCTCTCCTGCCATGCCCGCTGCTCCCCTCAGCAGTGTATCTCGTCAGTCAGCCTGTTCTGTTCCCCGCTCTGTCTCTGGTGAATCCTCTCACCCTCCTGCCCCCAGTTCTTGTATAAAATAAATAAATCTTTTTTTAAAAAAAAAGAAGAAAATGCATAAATTGCAAGTATATAGGCATGTACATACCTATTAATGATCAGCTTTTGATAAGATTCTTAGATAATTTTCTGATAATGCTTTGGACCTCAAACTCTTGTCCTTGTTTACAGATAGACACTGTTTTACTCAGCAGTTGGTGATTCATGATTCATTTACTAACCAAATATTGATCAGATGCCACTGTTTGCAAGGAATGGTGGAAGCCCTGACCTTACAAAAGGAGAGGACACGACTCTTAAACCAGGGAGAAAAACCTGGAACTAGCAAATGTGGAGGATATTGGAATTCTGGTTTTTGTTTGTTTCAAATCTAAAATGAGCTCTATTGAGTTTCCCACAGTTATTTTTTTTTTTAATCTAGGAAAAGCCTCAATCAATAAGGAACAAATTATATTTTTTGTTGGAAAAGAATCACTTGAGTGGCCTTTCCTGGGAGTAGGAGATCTAGTGGCATGCATTATTTCAGGGCAAGGAAATAAAAAGGCACTTGTGTGTGTGCCTGACAGAAGTCACTTTTCTAATTCCTCTAGGCTAGCTGGGAAGGTGGGCTAACTCTGATGGGGGTCAAGGAACTTTCTGAGACAAAGAGAAAGAGACTTTCGTGGATGCAGTTTTAGAAACTTTTAGATCAAGACAGCTTCAAAGATCCACTGGCAGAGAGGATATGCAGGGTGCTGAGGGGCCTTATAGTGGGGTAGGGCTTTCTTATTCCCCTCCTGGAAGCAGATCCTGAAAACAGCCAGGGTTCATCAGTAAGTGGTTAATACAGGAGGTCCTAGGTGAGAGGGTAAGGAGTGAGGAGCAGACCAACATGGAAAGAAACCAGCAAGCATGTGACCCCAGACAGGGTTCCTGGAGGGTAGCTTCAGAGGACCCCACAGCAGACTCTAGAGTATATGTCCTCTTGTTAGAGGGAAAGGATGTCCTGAGATAATCTCATACAGGCTTTGTGGACTCCACCCCCACTCCAGACTAAAGCCATCAGGACATTGGGAAAGACAAATCCCATCACCACCAAGGGGAGGGTGGCTGGGACCTGAGGGTGGAGTTGGGCAGCCAGGTTGGATATAAAAACCAGACACGTGGGCCTTGCTCGCTCTCGGGCTCGCGATCGCTCGCCTCCTGGCTTCACCGCTCCTGGCTGGCGGCCAGCTCTCAGAGTGCCATTTTGGGATTCCTGATCGGCGGATCGGGTAGGACTCATTTAAAACTTTGTCTCCCACTTTTCTCCCAGAGCTGTACATTTCCTCATTTCCCTTTCCCTTGTAAATAAACCTTTTATTAACCTTTCACGTGTGCCTGCAGTAGAGCATTGATAAGTCCTTTTAAGCGCGCGGGTGAGGACCCACAGTCAGGCACCCCGTTTTGTATCGGGGTTGCTCTACAACACTCTGTACTCTGAAGTGGGAGACAGGGGTCCTTGATGGACCCCATCATCAAATGCTACAAAGGGGTAGTGATGACTGGTGAGCAGGGTGTAGTGCTAGAATCTATATAACCACAGAGTGGATGTAGGTGGTTGGTGTCTGAGCGCTTATCTGCCTCAGCCTGGGACTAAGCCAAGGAGCCACCCCAACACAACTGTCCCGACACATTTCATCCCAGAGTGTGAACTCTGGGCCAACAGAGGTGGACCAAGGAGAGTGGATACTGAACCACACAGGGTACAGGGTCAATTTTTAACAAGGAAAGCAATGCCAGTTTAAAACAACAGAGCGAATTACTGAATCAATTGGAAATTCCAGTTTATTCTCGTTAAGATTTTGGGACAAGGACTGTCCCCTTTAAGCTGAGTAAATTCTGAAGTTATTGGACAATTTAATGGGAGGAGAACCTGCCTACAACCCCAGAAAGGGAGTAAGCTTCCTGGAAATGTGGCAAGTGGAAACCAGGGCTAGTTCTGACTTGAAGAAAGCGTTGTGACTTAATTTTCACCCCAAGCTGGTGAAGCAGGTCATACCAGTCACACACAGAAATAGGAAAATAATTTCAAATTATGATAAGTGCTATGACTGTAAAAGACAAGTTAAGGCCAGAGGGAAAAAAGGGGGAGATATGGTTGGGTTTGGAGAACATGAAGTCATAGAAACTTCTCTAAAAAAAAGATTTATTTCAAGAAAGCATGAAGAACGAATGGTGGGGCGGGGGGAACAGGGGAAAAATCTTTCTTTGTAATTAAAGACAACATCCTGAAGCAGGAAGCCATTTGATATATCTGGAAACCCCAAAAAGATGACTATGGCCTGGAATAGCGAATCAGGAGAAAATTATTCCAATGGGACTGAATAAATGACAGGGGCCAGGTCATACAGGGCCTTATAAATAATACCAAGTTTTTTTTCCTCTAACCATCTTGAGGATCCATTGAAGTCATTACAGCAGAAAACTCATCTGATAAAATCTGCCTTCAAACAAATTGTTCAGGATGTTGTGTGGAGAATGGACTGTAGCCAGATAACTATGAAAGCAGTAATGGGTAAGCCCATCATTTTGGAATCAGATTACTTGGATTCAAAACACAGTTTTGCCACCTACTGTGTTACCACGTGTGAGTTATTTAATCTCTCTATGTCTTGGTTTTGTCAATTCCAAAATACAAATAAAAATCGTATCTATTTCATTAGATTATGAAAGTTGAATGAAGTAATATTTTATAAGCATTTTTAACACATCATAAACCTAGCACATAGCAAACACCCAAATAAAGTTTCACTGTCCCATGGTTTACTATTGTGCTATTGTTAATAATTTCCAGTAGGAGTAGAGGCTGCTGGAGTTTAAGAGACAAACTACAACCCCATCTTTCCCCTCTGAGTTTGGAACCAATAAAAAATAAGACACAAAGATGACAGATGGGTATCAATTATATCTCAATGATACCTACAATGTGCCAGGCAAGTGAACAAAAGCAGATGAAATAGCTTGTTCTTGCATGTGTGTGTGTGAGGGGCAAGGCATCATGGCAGAAATAGATAAATGTTTCAACCAGTAAGTTATTTCTTGCTTTAGAAGGTATCTCTTTTATTACTGATAATGAGAAAATATGACTTGTATCAGCAGTCAGATCAACATTTACCATTTTTCCCTGATGAACTTCCCCTACGACCCCATTTCATAGAAAGGCCAGACATTGTCATATCTTAAGTCAATTAAAATGAAATGCATCCATTTAAAATGTGAAGATAGGCAAGTTTTGACAAATTTATACACTAGAGTCAAGAAAGTCAAGATATTCATAATTAATTCTATTACTACAAAAAATTTCCTCATACTTCCTTGCAGAAAATTCCCCCTCATACGTATCCAAGAATCAACTACAGATTGGTTTTGCTTCTTCTAGAATTTCTTAGAAATGTAATCATTTAGTATGTACTCTGCATCTTGTTGCGTTTGCTCAGCATATGTTTGAGTTTGATTAATGTTTTTGTGTTTCTCCATAGTTTTTACATTCTATTGCTGAACAGTATTCTACTATATGGATATACCACAATTTGTATATCCATTCACCAGTTGATAGGTAATGGAGTTGTTTCTGGTTTTTTACTATTATGAATGAAACTACTGGAAGTAGTCACATAAAAGTCTCTGTAGAGGGGCCTCCCTGCTGGCGCAGCGGTTGGGCGCTGGGTTGCGAAGCTGCCCGCAGCCTCTGCGGCGTCGGTTCAATACCCGGCCTCCAGGAGATGGTCCCACATGGCACGCAGACCTCTCCTGCCGCCCACTACTCCCCTCAGCAGTGTACTTCAGTCCTTCTGCCTGTTCTGTTCCCCAATCTGGCTCTGGTGAATTCTCTCACCCTCCCACGCTTCTGACTGTACCCAGTGCTTGTATAAATAAATTAATTAAAAAAAAAGTCTCTGTAGATATATGTTTTATTTCTTGGCCTGAAATTGATGGGTCATATGATAAGTATATTTTTATATTTATAAGAACTTGTAGACTTGTTTTCCAAAGTGGCTGTGCCATCTTTTATATTTCCACAGGCAGTGTGTGAGTTCCTGAGTCTCCACATCCTTGACATTTGATTTGGCCAGTTTTTTTTTTTCAATTTTAAGGATTCTAGTGGGTATTTAGCAGTATTTCCTTGTGGTTTAATTTACATTTCTCTGATGACTAATGAGATTGGGTATCTTTTCATGTATTTATTAACCATCCCTGTCTGTTTTGTGAAGTTTCAGTTCAAATCTTTTGCCCATCTTAAAATTAGGGGTGTTTTTCCTTCTTATTAAACAAGTTGTGAGAATCCTTTATATGCTCTGAACATTTGTTTTTTGTAAGATGGGTGGGCATCTCTATGGATTGCTATTTCGTTTTCTAATAATATTTTTGAAGGAACAGAAGTTTTTTTTTTTTTTTTTTTTCAGCCAGTTTGTTTTTATTGACGCCGCACTGCTCAGGCCTTGACCGCATACTTCCGCAGCGGGTACAGCCGTTCCTTCCGCTGCTGTTTCTTAGTCTTCAGGTTCTGCTCGTGCTTGGTGAGCCGGCGGCGCATGGCGCGCGTTTTCTTGGGCCGCAGATCCAGGGGTTTGTACTTCTTGCCCTTGTAGAACTTTCTGAGGTTCTCTTTCTGAGTCTGGTTAATGACGGTGAGAACACGGGCGATGGATTTGCGAACAACTCGGATCTTGGAGAGTTTGGAGGCCGCGCCGCCCGTCACTTTGGCGACGCGCAGCTGGGACAGCTCCACCTTCAGGTCGTCCAGCTGCTTCAGCAGCTCCTCCTTCTTCTTGCCGTGAAGGTCCCGGGCCTTAATCTTGGCCATTGCTGCACTAGCCGCCGCCGCCTGCTCGAGGGAAAGAGGAACAGAAGTTTTTAATGTTCATCAAGTAGAGTTTATCAATTCCTTTCTGTGTTGGTTTGTACTTTTTTCCTATCTAAGGAAACTTACTTATCTTGCCTACTCCAAGTGAACAGAGATTTTCTTCTAAGTGTTTTATATTGCTAGCTTTAATATATTCAGGTCTATAGTTAATTTAAAATTAATTTCTATTTCCAATGTATATGATAAGTTCAGGTGTGTTTTTAAAATATGGATATCCAGTTGTTTCAGCACCATTTGTTAAAAAGATAGCCAATCACAACTCAAATTAGAGTGGCACCTTTGTAAAAGCAATCAATTAACAATATGTGTGTGAATCTGTTTCCGTGCTCTACTCTGTAGCATTGATTTATATGTCTCTAAACCAACACCACATTGCCTTGATTGCCTTGTGGTAAGTCTGAAATGAGGTAGTATAAGTTCTCCAACTTATTTTTCTTTTCAACATTGTTTTGATTATTGTATCTCCTTTAAATTTTTATAAATTTTGGAATTAGCCTAAATATTTCTATGAAAAATGTCTGGGATTTTTGCTGAGATTATATTATGTGTATAGATCAATTTGAGAACTGACATCTTAACAGAACTGAATTTTATGAATGCATAATTTACCTATTGAAATCTTCTCTGTGTAATGTTTTGTTGTTTCAGCATACACACTGTACATATATTTTGTGAATATCTTCAAGTAGTAGATATTTTTTCATTCTCTTATAAATGGCATTTTCCCATTTCAATTTCTAATTGCTTATTTTTGGTATGTAGAAATACAATAGATTTTTGTATCTTGGTCTTGCATACTGTAGCCTTCAGTGGACAACATGCTAAGAGCATGCTTTCTCTCTTTCATTATATGTTCAATCAATTAGGTTTTATTTAGTTGAAATCTCAGAAAATCTCTGCATAGTGACATAAACATTTAAAAGGTTATTGCTGTCAAGTAGCACTAGTTTTAAGGAGAATATTTTGCCCTTTTCCTCATGGTTGCAGACTATTATAACCGTAATTCTAACAACCTTGTTCAAGGCAGGAAGGAGAGAAAAGGAGGTAACAGGTACATTAGTTGTCTTTTATCAACAACACAAGGTCTTTCCTTTAAAATAGTAATTCTCAACTGGATGTGATTTTACTACCTAGAAGACATTAGTGATTGTCACAACTAAAGAGGTGTTATTGATATCCAGTGGGTAGAGGCCAGGGATAGTGTTAAACATTCTATAATGCACAAGAGAGCTCTTTACAACAAAGAATAATCTGGTCCAAAAGTCAATGGTGCCAAGATTGAGATACCTTCCTCTAAACCACCCCTGTAGACTTGACTCAGGTGTCACTGACTCAGGTGTCAATGACTCAGGTGTCACTGATCTGAGCATAAGGCCATCCTTGCTTCAAGGGAGACTAGAGTAGTAGGAAACATTGATTTTTCTATATTTTACAACAACATAGAGTGACTAGATCAATGCTGGCCCATTATCTTGGGCTGGGCATATTGGTTTCCCAATAAACATAGAGTCTGTTAGCAAGGAGGGAGGGAGGAATGGCCACTGAGTAAACGAATCACAGTGCCTGCTGTAGGCCTATATAAAAGCTCTACCCATCGCCCCAGTGTCTCCCCGGGACCCAAATGAAGAGAGTATCTTTTTTTACAAGTCCTCTGTTCCTAGGCCTCAGCATCACTAGTACATTTGATCATATAGAAAACTTCTATATAATGTTGTAGATCACTTGAGGGAATATGCTAAATACTTCTTTCAATGATTCTTTTTAAAATCCTGAACTGGGGCCTCCCTGGTGGCGCAAGGGGTTGAGAAACAATCTATGAAGCTATCGGCAGCCACTGTAGCACTAGTTTGATCCCCAGACAGGGAAGAGACCCACATGGCACAGCAGACCTCTCCTGACTTGCCCGCTGCTCCCTTCAGCTGTGTGTTTCAGCCAATCTGCCTGTTCCGTTCCCCACTCTGTCTCTGGTGAATCCTCTCACCCCCCACACTTCTGGCCTGTACCCCAGCTCTTGTATGCATAAATAAATAAATCTTTAAAACAAACAAACAAGCAAACAAAAAAAAATGCCTGCACTGCAATGTCACTATGTTGGGCACAAAATAAGTCCATAAATTGCACTTTGAAGACCTTAATTAAACATACCACATAATAGACAAGTAGAGACAGGTGAATATTTAGTTCTAAAGATGAAGAAATCAAGAAATGAAGGGACTTGCCCTTGGTCACACACTCCACATAAATTCTATGAACTCGATAACAAAAAAATTAATTTTTTTTAAATTAGCCTTTATTCATTCATATCTCTGGGAAGACAGGGTTAGAGCTAGCTACAGCTCAAACTGAGGCCAGATGCTCAAAAAATGTTTGCAGATTTCCATTTCTCTCTTGGCTCTGTCTGCTTAATTGTCTGGTGACTGCTAGCAAACCAGTTCTCACCCCCTTTTAGAGGAAAGAGCACCAGCAGGAAACAAAGGGTACACTCAGAATTAGGTGATATAAGGGTAATTTAAGAAAGGGGATATTTATAGAGGTGACTGAGAATTTTAAGGAAACCAGCAACCCAAAAGGAGCCGAAGAAACAAGGAAAAGAAACGGTTAATGTGGACTAGCGTAGGTTGCTGCAATGGAGAGAGATTTCTGACAGAAGCTTTGGCATTTGGTAGAGGGCCATAGCAAACTGCCCTCCCTCCCACTGATCTCCTGGCAGTACCTCCAGCAGTTCAGTCCAATGGGAGGTTGAAATACTGGGAAGCCCACCTGGTCACTGAACCAGTAAACATGGGGCAAGAATGTGTCTGAAAAGCAAATAGAAGATAGCAAGCACAGGAGGCTTTTTTCTCTCTCAAATGTAATAGTAATCACAGAACAGAAACTTGACTGGCCTCATGTGATCCCCAAACCTACCTCTGTGGTCAGATGGAGAACATATTGACGGACTCCATCCACAGGTAAGAAAAAAGAGCTTTCAGGGCCTCTCTGGTGGCGCAAGGGTAAGTTAAGACACAACCTATGAAGCTCTCCACAGTCACTGCCAGCATGAGTTCAATCCCCAGCCAGGGAGCTACCCACATGGTACAGCAGATCTCTCCTGACTCACCCACTGCTCCCTCCCCTCAGCAGTGTATTTCAGTCAGTCTGCTGTTCTGCTCCCCACTCTGTCTCTGGTGAATCCTCTCACCCCCCACACCTCTGGCCTGTACCCCAGTTCTTGTATACATAAATAAATAAATTTTTAAAAAAAAGAAAAAAGAAAAGAAAAGAGAGCTTTCAGATAAGTACAGCATGGTCACGCCTGACTCCAAACCACAATCTCACAAAAACGTAGTCAGGTGCTCGAAGGGATGGAGAACTCAGCTAGGACTTCCTTATTTTTATAATTTTCTTTTCTTTGTTGAGGTAACATTGGTTATATAACACTGTATATGATTTAGGGGAATAGGCTCACACATCCTCAGGTCTAGGTCACCACACCATGCCACCCATCCAAGCACCCAAAGTCCTTTATAAGACAAAATTGGGTTCCCTCCTCCCTTTGTTTCCACTCCCTTATCTCTCGGATAGCCTCAATTCTGCAGTCATATTTCTAGGGTTTGTTTTGGTGTAATTTTGTCATTTCTTTTATTGTTTCTCTGTATTTCACTTACAAGAAAAATCACCTGGTATTTGTCTTTCTCCTTCTGACTTGTTTTACTTAGCAAAATCCCCTCCAATTCCATCCATGTTGTCACAAATGACAAGAGTGACATCTTTTTTTGTTTTCTGTAACTGAGTAGTATTCCATTGTATGTAAATGCATCTACTTAATCCACTGCTCTGTCATTGGTCATTCAGGTTCTTTCCATAATCTGGTAGTTGTAAATAGGTTGTATCTCATTGTGGTTTTGATATGCATGTCTCTGAAGATAAGTGATGTTGAACATTTTTTCATGTGCCTGAGGCAATTTGTTTAACTCCCTTGAAGAAGTGTCTATTTAGTTCTTCTTTCCATTTTTTTAAATATTTATTTATTTATGCATATAAGAATTGGGGTGCAGGCCAGAGGTAGGGGAGTGAAAGATTCACCAGAGACAAAGTGGGGAACAGAACAGAGAGATCAGCTGAAATACACTGCTGAGGGGAGCAGCAGGCGAGACAGGACAGGTCTGCTGCTCCATGTGGGTTGCTCCCTGGCCGGCCAGGGATCAAACCTGTGCTTCAGAGGCCACGGACAGCTTCACAGTGTTGTGCTTAATCTCTTGCGCCACCAGGGAGGCCCTTCTTTCCATTTTTTGATTGGGGTATTTTTTTTCTTGCTGTTGAGTTGTATGAGATCTTTATAAATCTTGGATATTAACATTTAGTCTGATGCATGATACACAAGTATTTTTCCCATTTGATTGTGTGTATGTACATTTTTATGATTTCATATTTCTGGCCTCCAGAATTGTGAGAGAATAGATTTCTAATGTTTTTAGCCATCTAGATTGTGGTATTTTGTTTGAGGAGCCCTAGAAAACAAATACAACTACACAACAATTAGAATTAGAAAGGCTACAATCTGACAATATCAAATCTTGGTGAAGATTTAGAGCAACTGGAATTCTCACACTCTGCTGGTATAAATTCAAAACCTTAGAGCCACTTTAAAAAATAATAGGGCAGTATCTTATAAAAGTAAGTATATAGTTCCATAAGATCCAGCAATTCTACTACTAGGAATTTACCCAAAAAATATGAAAATATATGTCCATACAAAGATGTGTACCTAAGTATTTAGAGTAACATTATTCACGATCATCCAAAACTGAAGGAAACCAAAGGTCTATCAAATGGTGAATGGGTAAACAATTAGTGGTTTATTCATACTATGAAAACCTAATTCTATCTACATAGAACAAAACTAAAACAAATCAGAATATTGAAAATAAAAAGGTAAATAAAACAGATTCAGGGAAAATGCACACTAAGAAAGCAAGGGTCATGAACTTTTATATAAGC